GGCAGTGTTTCGTTCTGCTGTGTGTAGGGTCGCTATGAATCGGTACCGACTTGATGGCATCTAACATCAACAACAAACAGGTTGAAAAAGGAACTCTGGTAGCATAGTGGTTACAAGTCAAGCTGCTAACCTCAGGATAAGCAGTTAGAAACTACCAGCTGTTACACAGGAGAAAGATGAGACTTTCTGCTCCCAATAAAGATTTACAGCATCGGAAACCCTGTACAGGGTCTCTATGAGTTGGAATCGATTCCACAGCATATTACCACCACCAACACAGGTTGGAAAACACTGCTGAAGGCAATAGTAGTCACTGAAACTCAAATCATATCAGAATTAATGAGAGACTTCAGAATTGGTAGTCTAGGAGATTTGCTAAACAGTTTATATAAGTTAATATTTTGTGTGTATATTACATGAGAAATTCTGGAGTTTGTCATATTTTTGTATACTATCTGTTAGTTCCCTTTTTCTTGTCTTTTCAGTCTTCCCTCTCCTCCCACAAAAAAAAAAACAACATATATCCTTGACAGCATCCTCTTAAAGTATGAAAGACTACTAGAGCTGTAGAGATAAACTGCATTTGTTCTGTGCCTCTTAAAGCTTTACATCTAGAGAAGCAAATTTCAGCCTAAAGCATGTCTGTTTATGAGCACATTCAGGTGACTGCTGAGATAATGGAATTGCTGATACATTGCTCCTAGCTGCTTGGATAACCATTCTTTTATTATCAGGAAGGCAAATGCAGTTTTTAAGATCAAACTGGACACCTCCTGGAAGCTACATTTATTACAAAAGGCTAAAGTGTCTACATTCTTAGGACTCAAAGGGACTTAAAGCAGAAAGACAGTATTCAATAGATGAATGCAATTCTGATAGGACAGCAACCACCTATATAAGTGACAGGAACAAGAGGTAATTTAATTTTGAAAGTTACCAACTCTACCAGCTCTGGGGTGAAGCAAGGTGCCTGCTACTGTGATAGCCACAGTCAGGGTCTTTCTGACAAGCATCCTTGCTGTCAGCATAAGGACTGAGTGCATTTTCACAATTTGAAATTCCTTTGGCAGCGTTTTGATCCCATGACAGCAGAAACTGGGAGCTGTACTCTGCTATTACAGAGGCAGTGCAGTAAAAAGTCTTTATAACCCAGTCACTATTATACTAGTAATGTAGCTATGGTAGCATAGTGGTTACGAGTCAGGTTGCTAACCTTAACATTATCAGTTCGAAACTACCAGCTGCTACACGGAAAAAAGATGAGGCTTTCTACTCCTGTAAAGATTTACAGCTTCAGAAACTCTATACAGGATTGCTATGAGTTGGAACTGACTCCACGGGCAGAACCATCACCACCATTACATTAGTAGGACTCCTGGTGTGGGGCTGTAGGATCAGCACTGGACTTTGAACCACAAGGTCAGCAGTTTAAACCCACCAGCTGCTCCTTGAAAACCCTATACAGGGTTGCTATGAGTCAGAACCAACTTGACGGCACTTAAAAACAACACTAGTATAGTGGAAACCTATCACTGATGAATTTTAGCCGTTAAAACATGGCAATCTTGGATTGTAGTACTGGTCTGTGTCTGTTCTTCTGTCAGGTGCTATCTGATAACAGGCACTACCTGTTGAGGACCCTTTTGCCATGATTTTCAGTTGGTTATCTTTAAGGAACTCTGAGGAGTATCTTCCAGCTGGACTCACTTCAATTACTTACTAGAAACTCCTTTGCTGAGATCACACAGATACACAAAAAAAACACCAAAAACTTTTCTAGTAGTTTTGAATTTTCTAGAAGACTTGGCAACATATTTGGGAAAGTAATAAAGGAATTTCATTATTTCTGTTAAAAACTTTCCAGGAATATTAGAATTTGATGAGACCCACCTCCAGAATCTCTGTATACTAAATATTGTTGTTGTTGTTATGTTCCGTCAAACTGGTTCCGACTGATAGCTACCCTGAATATTGTTTCCAAGAAATGGCTTGTGGGTTTGAACCACCAACCTTGTTAGTAGTCAAGCATTTATCCTACAGTGCCACACCAGGACTAAATACTAAATGAAGGCAATTCATATAACAAAATAAATTATTTCTTGTTTTATCATATGAATGTCTCCTGAAATTTCCTAAGCTTTCTCAGGAGGTCATCTTTGTAGAAACTAGAAACATTTCCCCCAATGTTTGGTAGTGGTGGTGGTGTGCCGTGGAGTCGGTTCCGACTCATAGTGACCCTGTACAGGGTTTCTGAGGCTGTAAATTTTTATGGGAGCAGAAAGTCTCATCTTTCTCCCACAGCCAGCTGGTAGTTTTGAACTGCTGACCTTGAGGTTCCAAGCCCGATTTGTAACCAACTGAATGTTTATCTATTTTTGTAAATGAGAACTTCTGAATGCAAATTTTTATGGTGAAAGATCATATTGATTTTAATATATTTAAAATTTACTCTTATTGAATGTGTAAAGCCTTGATCACAGATTTTGTGTATGCACTAAGAATAAAAGGTATAATAGTTTTAAAGTCATAAAGGTTTTAATGAATTCAAAAAAGTGCAATATGAGGAATAGATACAGGATGTATTGGCCAGACTCTGGGATGGTTTTGGAAAAAGTTCACCATTCACCATTAATGATCCTTGTGGTTTGTCAAACTAAGCCATTCCCCCACCCTTTTCCTTGACATTCACAATATTTATATCTACCCTGAAAAAAATGGAATTAGCTTTGTAGAAATCAACAAGTTAATTCTACTTGTTGATGTTATAAATACTTAAACTGGTGGTGGTTGTGTATCAGTGAGTCAGTTGTAAATCATACAACCCTGTATAGTATTTTCAAGGCTGTAAATATTTACTGTGGAGTCCTTGTGTGGCGCTGTGAGTTAATGCGCCAGACTGCAAAGCCATTTGAACTACAAGCTCAGTCATTCAAGCTCACCAGTCGCTCCTTGGAAACCCTATGCAGGGTTGCTATGGGTCAGAACTGACTTGACGGCACTTAACAACAACAAATATTTTCTGTAGCAGAAAGCCTCATCTTTCTCCCATGGAGTGATTGGTAGATTCAAACAGCTGACCTTGCATATAGCAGCCCAGTTCATAATCCATTAGTATACCAGGGGTCCTTAATGCTTAAATTAGGAACAAGGTTATCAATGATTTTTTATTGGTTATGTCATTTTGATCAAAATCTCCAAATTTAAACTATGGGAGTACCTACTCATGAGCATTGCCTTCCATAGTAAATAGGCAATTCCCAGTGGAGTGTAGAATACAGACTTACATACTTGTTCATATTTTACATAAATTCCCAGTAATAGATATATAAAATCATTTAAATACCCCTTTAGGTAAAGTAAGAAGACAGAGACATGGAAATAAGAGAGTATCTAAGAAAACATCTAATAGGTGACTATGCATTTCTTCTCAATGTATTTTCTTCTAAGGATCCATTTTCTTGATCTCCACATTGGCACACTTTCTCTCACTTGGCAAAGTGGGAGAAGGAACAACCCATGCATTTAGCACAGCTTGCAATTTTCTACAAAGTTCAGGTCTGACCTTTCTCCAGTGCTTTGCATGCTGTTGCCACCTGCTTTATTTCATCTTATTAGAGATAATTGTTCTCCTGGGCCCCAGGCTTGGTACACCTAGAATGAGTTCCCTGCCCTCTTTCCCTAGGCCCCTCCTGCTGCTGGTACTCACTCAAAAGGGTCGCTGGGATCTGCCCTCTGGAGCTCTGGAGGGATGGGGATTCTTTTGTAGTACATTTCCCAGTCGAAGGCTCCTCGCATGGCATCCCCAGCTTGTGCCTCATACCCAAAGTGATTGTGGTCAATGACATCGATCATAGGGCACACGATGGTTTTGTGGTTTAGTGCAATTTGGTCTGAAAAATGAAAGCACAAAACAGGAAATGACATGTCCACTCAGGCCATCTATCATTTCTCCGTAGAGAAGACTATAGATTCCTCCTAATGCATCATGCTCAAGCCTTGGTTCCCTGTCACTTTTACAGCACTTGGCAGGTATCTCTGTTTGAATGCTGGACTTGACGTGAGGGGACAGTAATTAGGTACAATTAGAGCTGTTGTATTTTCCTTTAAGAAACATATGTCCCAGAGAGACTTGAAGAAGTCCATTTAGCTCTACCTTGCTCATATTTTTGCTTTGACCTGTCCCCATTCTGTCATTTTATTGTGCATCCAACATGCTCAGAGTATAAACAGTACTTGTGCCCCTTCAAGCATATAGCTATTGCCTGCTGAGGAAATATCGGCCTGGTTTCTGTAGGTTCCAAAATGTAAGTATTTAATGTTAATGGTTTTATAGCATCTAATCTTTTAACAGTCATGATGGCATTACCCACCTCCCATATACCCTCTTATCCCACCAAATACTGGCCGATCATGCAAAGAATTCCTAGAACTCCTGTTTGCCAAAGCTTTTGCCAAACTTTATTTTGCAACTGTTCTTTGACACGGAGTCTGTTTATTAAAGCTATATGAGTACTTTGTTATCTTCTCTGATTGTGTCCAAATATCATCAGGTGGCCTGTTACTATTCTTACTATACCTGCTAATACTAAGTTCTTAAAATAATTTATACACATGCTACTTGTATTCATCCTAATAACCCTGTAAAGTGGCTATGTTTAGCATTCCTAATCTACATATGAGGACAATAAATAACTTGTCAAAGATTCCTAAGCTTTTGAGAGTGAGAACCAGTGTGCAACTCCCACTTTAAAGGCCAAATGTCAAAACCCATTGTTGTTTTAGTGTTGCCTGGTGCATATCATGGCAGTGAAAAGGTGGTTATATCTTTCCAGTTTTAGTTCCTTCATTTTCCATGTAGATATTGTTACTATGATGGCACTAAAAGCCAGCACAGAGAACTGGTATTGGCATACCAGAATAATTACATGTGAAATATCCAACCCCAGCCCAAGAATGTGAATTTAGTCAATATTTATTATACCAAACCAACACTTCCTGGAAGACACAACTTTTAAGTATGAACAACTGCTCTCTGATTAATTGAAACATCTTAGGATCTGGTATACAAAATTAAATACATTTGAATATCTTAAATAGAAAGCAAATATCATTCAGAAATATAGCGAAATTTGGTTACTTTACTTGTTTAGTAGTAGCAGGTTACCTAATCATTATGGTTTCAAGAAATCCTGGAATAAGTTGTATCTGTGCCTATCATAAGGAAACTGCTCACTTGCTTCAGAAGTTCTCCTAAGCATAGGGCAAGAAGCATAGGCTTTTGTTGGCTGTGAAAACAAGCTGTTTTATTTTAAGGACATTGATTAAGTAGGGTGTAAAAACCACACAGTGTTGTGGAAGATTTTCCCCTCCAGATCTACATGTCTTTTCATTCATTGATTTATTTCAGTGATTATTTATTGAGTGCAAACTGTGTGCCAGTTACTTTTCTAGGTTCTGGTGATATGTTGTTGCTGTTGAGTGCCTTTGAGTTGGTTCTGACTCATAGCGACCCTGTATAGGGATTCTGAGGAGCGGCTGGTGAGTTTGAACCTCTGACCTTATGATTCAAAGTGACCTTGTGGTCCAGTGCATTTTCCTGCTGTACCCAAACTAGGACTCATATAGTAAATTAAAAGATCAGAATTGATTTTGACTGATAGTGACGTTGTGTATTGAAGAGTAGAACTATGTTTCATAAGTTTTTCAAGGCAGATATCCAGGCCTTTCTTCTGTGTAACCTCTAATGGGTTCAAACCAATGGACTTTAGCTTAGTAGCTGAATACTTAACCTGCTTAACCGTTGTGCCAATCGGGGACCTATATAATACGTTAAGCGATAAATGTTCTGGAATTAAATTTAAACAGTGCAAGGGGCATGCAAAGGAGTTCTGATGGTGCAAACAGTTAAGCACTTGGCTGCTAACTAAAAGATTAGTGGTTGGAATCCACCGAGCTGCTTCTCAGGAGAAAGACAAGGCCATCTGGCTCAGTAAAGATTATAGCCAAGAAGTTCTACTCTGTCACATGAACTCTGTCACCATGAACTGCAATAGACTCAACAGCACCCAACAACAGCAACAAAAAGGTATGCAGAATACTAGGGTGTGGAAGGGGTTGTCATTTTAGACAAGATGGCCCGAGTAGGTCTCAGAAAGTCTGGAGTGTCTAATTCCCGTGAATCAGTAGACACGCAGCAGCTCCAACAGTATTTTAAATTACTCTCTATCAGGATTCTAAGCATTCGTTTTCGCCTTGGCAAACCTGTAATGGGTTTCAATCTTTATCTAACTGGTATTTCTCCATAGATGTCTTCAACGCAGGAGACCATCTTTCTGAATTCAAAATATTTCTCCTATCACCTTTGCACAGGGTTTAGTACTAAGGTTTCCGTGACTGTCTTCAATCAAATTCAGAATCAGATTGATTTACAAGTTCCTTGACCAACAAGGAGTCCCAAGGTGACCCAAAGAGAATGAGTCTGTTAAATTAACTGTCAACTTTCCCTTCAAATTTCCTTTCAGCTCTCATCCAGCTGTACTAGCTTAGGGTGAAAGCCGCATGACTAATTTTTCATCTAAGGCTTGTGCCTACATTTCAATTTCCAGAGATCAAACAAACAGACTCTTAATGGGAAATTGAAATTCAGGTATAATCCCAAGGTGAAAAATGAACTAAGAAACTGTGTGGCTCCACCTGTTTTTTCATTTTGGATGATGTGTCAAGACACTGATAGAGGAAAATAAAAAAAGATAGTGATCCTGAGATTGAATCATTTCTTATCCATCAGGCTTGCAGGAAATGAAATGCTTTAATGAGAAGAAGCGGGTATTTCGATTCTGTCTTTTTCATTTCTTCTCCACCCCCCGCCCCCATCTTTTGTTGTTGTTGTTAGATTCATAATAAACAATCAGATATTTGATAATTGGCATTCAAGGATTTGTTTGGATCATAAATTAAACACTTTTTCTGACTTTTTGAGTATGCCATACCGTATAGTTCAAATTCAGTTTGAGGGACTCTCACTTTGCTGATGAAACTCTAAATTGCTATGTCCTTGGACAAGGTACTTTTAATTAAAAGCTTTGAGGAGTCTCTGGTTGTTTGAGCACTGAAACATTCCCCTTGATTACGATGGCTGGGCAGTAGACTGTGTAGAAGTGTGTATCGGGTGATGTGGTTGGGATGTTGGTTGCTGGTTGTTTCTGGTTTTAAATCTTAAATGGTTTCAATTGATTTTCTTCCCACATCTTTTACTAATGGAGCTTTGCTGGTTCCAGCTGAAATGCTACACAGTAGTCAATAACAAATCATTCCTTCTGATGCAGCTATTGTGAAAGTGGTTGTTACTGACTTTAGCTCCAAGGCCACGGGTATATTTACAATAAAAGTTGATTTAGTGAAATATGAAAGAATAGAAAGGACTACAACATTTTTTCACCAAGAACTTTCTAGAAACATTTTCCCCTCAGGCTTACAGTTCAGATTTTCTTCACTATCTGAAGGTAGTACATTCCTCTGAAACTGAGTAAGCCAAAAGGATATACAGCAAAGAAATAATCATGATTAATTTCCATGGGAAAAATTTTTGGGCCTTCCAAGACCCCAAAAAATAACCTACCAAATCACAGCAAGTAACACATAAAACCTAAAATAATACTAACATACAGTGTTCACAAACACAGTTGAAAACTATGGCAGCTTGATACTCATATCCTTAGTGTAGTTAGTGGGGCAGGAGCTTGGCGATACCACTTTGTCTGCTCGAGGTGCACACTACAAAATTAACTCTGGATATTAGTTTTGCTTTATGGCTTGTTTCATAAAAGTGACAATCCTCTTTGGATTTCTTTTAGTTAGGGAAAACAATGAAGTGAAGTGTTGTAAAGTAAACTTTTGAAAATTGAAGGATGTATGTTTCTTATACACTATTGAACTTTATAGAGTACTGATGTGGTGGTATAGGATAAACACTAAATTGCTAACTATAAGGTCAGAGGCGCAAAACTGCCATCCACTCCTTGGAAACACCATACACGGTCACTATGAGTTGGAACCCAATTAACAGCCTTAGCAACAACTCTGGACTTTATAGTAAAATAATAAAGCAAAAACAGAGACGCTTTAAGTGAGCCACATATAATATTTTCTAGTTTGAGATGCTTTCAGTTTGTAGTGCGATGTAATAGTTTTTTCTTTATTTTTAAATTTTATTTTTGCTTCCTTTCACTCAGAGTCCTGGTGTATGGAGGTATGGTGTAGGGTAAACAAGGAATTTGTTAACCACACAATCAGCAGTTAAAATTCACTTGCTACTGGAAACCCTATACATGGACTTTATGAGTTGGAAATGACTAGATGGCACTTAACAACAACAACCATATTGTGAGTATTCAAGATTATTACCTGGATAGACATTTAGGAGTTTTTGAGGAGGCTCTATGTAAATACAGTTGATTCTATATTTAGGGTTGTAGGCTGACCAGAAGTGGAAAGAAAAATAGCACAAAGTAGTGTTGCGCTGTGGGTTAACTGGCTGCAGTTTGAACCTCAAGCTCAGCAACTGCTCCTCAGAAACCCTGTACAGGAGTGCTATGGGTCAGAACTGACTGGATGGTACTTAACAGCAGGAACAACAATTTATATCATAAATCCTAGTAAATGTCAGAGTGCTTATATTTTAGACGTCTTCTGGGACTGAATAGTTTTCTTTCCTCATTTCTCAACAATCCTATAACAACTGCTAAAATTATGTGTGCATGTTTCAATCTTATTGTGATTAGAAGAAATATTTAGGGATTTATTTTTTTATATATATAGTATTCAGAGAACATAGCTGCAATACAGGAAGACTTCTTCAAGAAAAATTAAATCTTTCCAAACCTTCAGTTAGATTGTATTTGGTGTTACCTAAAATGCTAATTTTAAATTAGTTTCTTAGTTATCTATTTCTCCTTAGTAGTGGTTAAAACAAAATTCAAGGTTTCTTTCCACTTTGTTCACTATGCAAGGGTATCCACCTTTGTTAACAGCAAACTGTAGAAACAACCCTGATGGAGCACAATGCTCCAAGCCCTCAGTTCCCAGCAGGCATACTGTGTACTCACTAAGGAGTGGGGGTAGCCAGTTCACATTAACCTCGCAATGGGAGTCGAGGAAGGTCAGGACTTCTCCTCTCGCCATGGAGGCCCCCAAGAGTCGAGTCCGGATGAGTCCTTCCCTTTTCTTGGTGCGAACAATTCTCACTTTGGAAAATCGGGCCATATACTCTTCTAACTTATCCTTCAAGTGTTCTGGAGAGAAAGTAGAGAATGGATGGAAAGAATGCAAAAACATTAGTCACAGGAGAATTATTCATGAGCATTTATGTACAGCTTAACATTTTTAAAGTCTGTTTTTCTCTTCTACTTTAGATGGTGCGTAGTGGTTACGAATCGGGCTGCGAACCTTAAGGTCAGCAGTTCGAAACTACCAGCTGCTCCGCGAGAGAAAGATGAGGCTTTCTACTCCCGTAAAGATTTACACCCTCGGAAACCCTGTACAGGGTCGCTATGGGTCGGACCCGACTCGATGGCACTTA